TGCTGCCATGTCCACACACTGGTCTAATTTCACTTTGGAGTAAAATCTAAAGTTTTTGTGTGTCCTGTGTCTATTCCTTTATAAGCTCTATTCTTCTAGCATGGAAGGGCTGGATTCTAATACCTGTACTTCTACACAGTGACATCATGCCACACAACAGCATCTTTGTTATACTCAGCATGAGGACAGGTATCAGAATCTGATATCCATGAACAATCTTCTAGTTGACTGCAAAATAAAAATACGAAGAGGTTACCCCCGCAATAAATGAAACCATTCATTCTACTCATAAAGAAGAAGAGCAAGCTCTGCGTTACTTCTCTCTGTCATTGTTGGGACTTGTCTTTGGTTGCTGTCAGGCATCCGCAGCATGTTGTGAAGTCTGGGTAGAGCCTTCTGGGTTTTAGAGATCTTAACGTTCCCAGAAGTCAGGTAATGGGGCACATGCTTTTTTTTTTTTTTTTAAATTAGGGTGTTAAAAAATTGCTGCAGATGGTAGCCTCCTCCCCTGTGGAGCCTAAGTATGTTTCTGTGGCAATGTGACAGAGCTCCACCAGCCTGAGGTATGCAAAAGTCCTTGAGGTAGCTGCCAAACCAGAGTCCAAGCCTTCAGGCACACTTGGATCTTTTTGCTTTTAAGTAAGGACATCATTAAAACATGAACAGACACACTTGCATCATAGCACACGGCATGATTGCAGGCAGGAGGGTGCAGTGGGCATGCTAAAGCATAATGATGGTAAGGTGTTGATGAGTATCTCCTTTCCTCTGAATTTCCCAACACACAGCGCAAAAATCAATTCATTTAGCTTTGCCATACCCAGGGAGGTAGTATTACCCAGTGAAATGACTTGTGTAAAGTTGCTCAAGGAAGTCTATGGGGTAGTTGAGAATATCCAAGGCCAAAAGATTCAAATTCAAGTGGTATAAATTCAAGTGTTATATCCATATTTAGGTGGCTAACTAAAAACTGATTTGATTCACAGGTGTAGAGTGTCCTGAGATTATGTTGAACTCAGCAGGACTTAAGCAGCTCTGAAAATCATCTGCTACATTTGGTTTTTATGGAATCGCACATGAAGTTTTCACCCTAAATCTGTCTCTTAGGCTTTTTCTTCCATTGTAAAGTCATCCCTTCTCTTCTCATCAGAACAAGAAAGGGAGATCTAAACTTTCCAGAGCTTTGAAATATAAAGAACTTGCAAAAAATATTCACTGGAATTAAGGGAAAAAAAGCTACTGATAAGAAAAAAGGCACATAAATACTTATGCTCTCTTTACATCACTGGATAAGCGGGGATAAAAACATAGATCTCACATGAGCATTGCAAAAAATCTTTGTCATAAAAATTGTCTGCCAGGGCTAGGTTAAACTAATGATATATGCTGGGAAGGTTATCTTTAGTGTTTATCTATGCAGATCCCAAGACAACCAGAGAGGTCACTGCTGAGCAGTAGGCAGTATTCAAGCTGAATAGAAATCGGGTTTTCTGCACTGCACAGTTTGAGATTTCATCCCCCCACCGCCCCCGGTTCCGAATCAGGATGGAAAGTTTAAAGCTTTCAAACATGGCTTCTGAATCTCAGTGTGACTGGGGTCAACTGAAACATTTTCCTTGTGTCATTTCAAAATAATTCATGTCAATGTTGACCTTTTCAATTATTATTTGATCTTTTGTTTGAGGGTTTTTAAAAAAAAAAAAAAAAAACATTGCCAGCTGAAATATAGAACTTTTTAATGTTGAAAATGTCAAAAGGAGCGGTTTTGACAAATCCAACATGAGTACTACCCCCCACCCTTTTTCTTTTTTGATTAAGGATTCCTTCCCCCTGTCGCCCCTCAAACAGGACATTTGTTGGAACTGATCTTTTTCTGCAAACAGTTATGGCTTTCACAAATCAGAATTTTCCAACAGAAGTATTTTTAGTCAAAAAATTCCTGACCAGCTCTAGTATTCGCTTCCTACAAACGTAATCACTGGCTTGTGCGTGTCTGCCATTGGGCATGATGCAGGCAGGGCCAGATTCCATTGCAGGTATTAGGCACATAGTGGATTTAAGTGCAATTCTAGTCTACTCAGCTTAAGTCCTTGAAAATCCATTAGTCCATCTACTCTTGTGGCACGTCATCTTGACCTTAAAGTTGAGACACACAAAGAGAAGAGAAAAGGAGGATGGTCTGCTTATCTACCTTTTGTATTAACATTTTTTAGAGACTTGTGCTGGACTAGAATCACACTTAGGCCTGTAAGGTCTTAGATCCCTTCCTCATCGAATACGTGGAACAGAATCCGACCCTAGAGGTATACATCCCCCTCAGTCTCCAAGCACTTTATATTCATGCAGCACCATCTAAATGCAGCCACAGAGCAGGAACACAAAATCTTCTGTCTTACAACAGTGAGACACACATTTGCATTGGTGAACACTGCCTATAACATCTGTGCTCAGTAACCAGACCCCTGGTTTTTTAACAGTTTTATGTGAAAGGTTCAATAAACTGTGCAGAATGCATTTAATCTACCTAAGCAGGATAAAATCAATATAGTTGGGATTCAAATACAGTAACAGGGCAGATTCTGAGGTGGCGTAAGTGGCCATGGCTCCATTACAGTCAATGGTGATACGCCAGTTTAGGATTAGGCCCTAGGTGTTTCAAACCTGATATTCCTACTGCCAAACCAGCCTTTGAAATTGCATCTAAGCTGTTTTTCTTTTTCCTCCAAGGCAATAAATATTTTAAAAAGTCTTGAATTTCACTGTACCATAATCTGTGTAGAGTAAACTCTTCAATATTTGTCTCTTTCTGTATCTCTCTCCCATTTCTAGCTTGATCACTCACGGTTTTGGAACGCCTGCAATATGTGCTGCCCTCAGCACTTTCCAAACTGTTCTCAGTGAAATGCTGAACTACTTGGAAAAACACACATCGCACAAAAACGGCGGAGCTGCTGAATCTGGCCAAGGACATGCCAACGCGGAGAAAGCCCCCCTGCGGAAAACTTCAGAGGCTGCTGTGAAAGAGGGCAAAACAGAAAAGACAGACTAGCTACATCAAACAGAATCTATTTCAAGAGAGTCTTGCTGCTGATATTTTTTTTAAATATATATATCATTGAGGGTGATTTATCTCCAGTGGACCAAATCCAAAAGAGGAAAAAAAAAAGATTAAACACGAGAGTGAAAGAGAGAGAGAGAGAGAGAAATACTCAACTCTTAGAACAGCAGTGTACAGTAATTGTGTGATGAAATTGTCACTTTTTTTATTGATGTTGCTCTAAACTCCTTTTTTTTTTTTTTTGTGCACGTAGTATTTGATCGCTCCGAATGATACACTAGCACCATTTTCTATAAGCACTTCTGGACCTGGCTGAGGCGGCGTGCGTGGTTTTTCACAGGCTAACTCAAAGCACTTTCTTATCTGGCAACATAAGTAGGGATCTGGAAAGCACGCCAGCCATGGGGTACACAGATCTGTCATGATGATTTCGCCCATGTGATGGAGAAAACTGGAAGGACTGCCTCCTTCAACCCACCAAACTGAGTATCAGGGGACAATACTGGAACTTGGAAAGAGATGAACCTCTATGTCCTGGAAATGATGAACCATTCAGTGCTGGGGCAGCCTCTCCCAGTTTGGGCATGTATTGGTAAACTAGTGTTGAAATAATGCCGAAGCCCATCAGGGCTCTGTCCCCACCATTCAAGAAGTGTCTCTCAAGGGAAGGAGATCACAGATGGAAATGGAAAGGTCTTGAGGGTTCCAGGAACATCCTCCACACTAAGAACGAGAGGTTAGATTCAACAATAGGAAGGGCTTGCATCTTTTTAGCCCCTCCTCCTGACAGCTGAATCAGATCTGGGCCTGCAGGCAGGCAGAGAGGCCTTTTGGTTTGCCTTGATTTCACGATGCTTTCTTTCCTTCTATGGCTCACTGTTACAGCTGACTTCCCGCTTGCAATAATGCTGGGATGCAGAAGTTCCAAAAAAGAGTCTTAAGAAAAAAAATGCAAAATTGATATGACACCTAGGATAGACTGGTCCAGTCCAAAGCAGCCAGGGGGTTAATGGCCCTTCTCCCCTATTTCAGAGGTATTAAGTGACCCCCAGCTACACACAGCATCATAGATTCGACATGTTCTGCTTGCTTCAAAACAAGGTTTGTCCAGTCCAATTCCACTGCTCGCAGTTAATTCCATCTTTCTGCCCCAGGATTTTTACTTTATTAGCTCACTGCTTCTTTGGCTGTTTCCCTTGTGTCTCTTCATTCAGAAGGGCAGAATACTGTGGCACTAGCATATTGGCTGCAAATAGGCAGCACAAAAGAGATCAGATTAGTTTTCAAAAAGCATGGGTGGGCATTGTCGCCTGATTTTCTCCCCCTCCCCCTGAAGTCATCAGGAGCTA